AAWWAAAAAATGAATTATACACTACTTAAAAGAAAAAGAAATGAAATTTTACTGCTARCTGTGATTCTACAAATGTCACTAAAACTACAATCAGCACTAAACAACTTGTATTTAAGAATATTACAACTGCCATAATGATAACTCTAAAACTCATTCATGAGAGAGGTAAAGGGGCTGTTTTTTTTCATTTGAAATGCTGCTTGTGACCAAGGAGCTGTGTGTGATGCACCCCTTAGACCACATTGTCATATGACGCACCAGTTATATCAGCAGTGGCGAGGGCCCTAGGCGCCATCCGCACCCCCCTTCGGAAGGGGATGATAAAGAGAAACGGATAGAAAAAGCAAGAGGAGAGAGACAGAGGGAGAGAGGCCGGAAGCGGCAGGGCCGGGCCTCACGCTGCTCTTTATGTGTAGGCGTTGAGTCGCTCCTTGGAGCGAGTGGAGTGGATGTCGTGGAGCTCCTGCTCCTCCTTCGACTTGATGTCTTCGTACTTCTGCATTCGGCAGGCGTCCTTCACGTAGGCCCAGTTGGCGGACAGCACCATCAAGTAGTGGATCTGTGAAGAGAAATGGAAAATTGTGACACAATGGAAGACAAATTTGAGAAAAATCTCAATATACGAGCAGCTATTTGTTGGATGCAGACTACTTGTGAGTGGTTTTGAAATATTGCAACTAGGGCTGTGAAATTAATCGAGTTAACTCTGATTAATTTTGGTGCTAAAAATTTTAATTGTGATTAATCGCTATTAAATTTTACAATCACTTTACTGTGGCTGGTAGCTTTGTATATTGCAATGCACTCAGTGCATGCCAGGTCCTGTTTGTAAATGAGAAGTGGTTCTCAAACCGTTTACCTGGATAAATAAAGGTTAAATAAATAAAATAAATTAAAAAAAAACCACGTGTAACACATTATGTACAGTTTTTTTTTCCTTTTTGTCTTCTTATGGCTTAAATAAAAACATTAAGAACTAATTAACAACTCAAGTAATTTATTTTATCAATATGCAATAGAAATGTATAATAAATTAAAGATTAATCATGATTAATTCACAGCTGCTTTGGGATTAATCAGATTAAAAATTTGACAGCCCTAATTGCAACGCTTGTTGGGTTTGGATCTCAAACAAGGAGGCAACGTTTCCAGGACTCCACCAGATGGCAGCATATTGTCAGACATGGTTTTGGACCTAGAAGTTACCATGGCAGCTRAGAATATAATGCATGCATTGTGCTTTAATGACTAAGGTTGTACCATAGCTTCTGTTTTCTTAGGAGCTGCTGTTTCATTGCTTCTCTCTAATTAGATAACTGAGATTTAAACACACACACACACACACACACACACACACACACACACACACACACACACACACACACACAC